TACTTGTGTTTTACTTTGCCGGCAGCTTGTCCTTCTTCTTCTTCTTCTTCTTGCACGCTGGCAATTGTCGTTAGATTATGTGGGCCGCTCTTGGCTCGAGCAGCTTCATTGCTTTTTCGATACCATCTCGGCGCGTACTTATTCATTACATTTCTGTAATTAATAGCTCGTTTGTTGCGCACATCGCAAAATGATATGGGAATTTTGTATTTATCTTATTCCGTTCTATGTCTTCGTGAATTCCTAGGAGCGAAGAATTTGTGAAACACTCTATACATATGTTTCCGATTGCAATTTTAGTATTATTTCAACTTCGAATTATTAACTTAAAGAATGCCAACGTGTGTATATATTTATAAAATAAAAATTATTCTAAATTTTCTCACGTCTCGCAATCCTAAAAGACATACATACATACATATATATATATATATATATATGCATATTCGGTCTATTTTCTGTATTAATAGTCTTTGATATCTTCCGACATGTACATACATATTTTGAAACATTTTCTTTGGATATTATATCAAACGGATTTTGCGTGTTACGTAATATCCTTCGGACTACACGGACATTATTATTTTGATCATTTTGATTTCTTTGGTATTCATTAAGAATTATCCAGAACGCAACTGCCATGTTGAACGACTCAATTGTCGTGTGAAATGTTTCGATTTTCACAAATTCATATAAAATTTTTCATTTTTCACTGATTCACAGAAGTCTTTCACTTTTTATTAGTTCACGCTAGGGAAAAGATTCATGATCGCTGCCCTGAGCAGCTGCAACGCTTTTCGAATCATCTATGTCGGCGCGCTTTTACTCCTCAGATTTCTGTTATTAATAACTCGATAATTATTGCGAATCTCGCAAAACAATATGGGACTTTTATGTTTGTCTCAACCCAATCTATCCTCACACTTCGGGTTGGTAGCTAATTACCGGACACTTCGTATGATCTTCATGATATTAATCATACAATGTCAATTCTTTTTTTTTGCACATGTTAACATGTTAATTCATGTTATAAACGCGTAACAATGTGCGAGACCGTGCTTGTCAAGCACGCTATTATGGTTGTAGCACGGACATAAACCGCCTAAAAATGGATGTAGCACGGACTGCCACCACATACAGGTTTTACCGCCGAGACCTGAAAGTGGATGTAGCATCGTAGTTCCCCTCTCAAAATAGATGCAGATGGCGCCCTTTTCCAGTGCGGAAAGTCAGTGTCGTCGAAAACGCCGTGTTGGCCGTTTTCACGTTCCTCTCTGCTAATAGCTTATTGTAGAAGGCCCATAATTGTCATCAATCAGTTCTTACGACTTACAGCTTACAACACCTATTGTAGACCAGGCCTTAACTGGTTGATTATTCCAACGGAATTGACCAGTCTCATTTGTCGTTACCCAGTGAGAAATGATTCGTCGATCGATATCGAATCTTCAAATCGACGTCGATTCGACCTTATTTCGACGTCGATCGACGAATCATTTCTCACTGGGTAACTAGAATTGTTAAATGCGATTGGTCCATTCCGATGGATTAATCATTCGGTTAAACTAACCACGGTTGGTAGAAACGGACAACAGTGAGCGATCAGTGACTATTGGTCTTTATTGTTAGATCCTAACATTCAGACCAATAACGTTGACGAATTACTCAACAGTTGCGCAACTATTGAATAATTTGTCAACGTTATTGGTCTGAATGTAAGGATCTAACAATAAGGACCAATAGTCACTAATCGCTCACTGAGCGGTTTTCTCCGCTGAACGCAATGAATCATAAATCTTTTCTTCTAGCGTGAACTCGTGAAAAGTAAACATTCCCATATACTGAGGCTAAGGCCTGGTCTACAATAGGTATTGTAAGTTGTAAGCCATAAGAATTGGCGAATCACAGTCCTAATACAGGCGAATACAAGCCTAAAGGCTCGTCTACAATAGCTGTAAGAGTTAGGCTGTAAGGCTGTAACGTAAGCTGTCAGCGAATGAAAATATTTCATTTCGTGTCTTGCAACCTTACAGCCTTACTCTTACAGCTAATGTAGACGAGCCTTTATATTACATGTGTCGTACGACAAGCTTTTCGGATACATTGGCCGCGTTCAGTAGAACAAAGTGATCAGAGAGCGCTTAGTGATTATTGTCTGTGATTGGAGCATTCTTTTAGATTCTTCATAGACCTAGAAGTATTTACCAATCAGGAGCGAGATTCAGTGGAAAATCTAGTAATGTTGTCCAACTGTTGAGTCTGCTGAATGCAGCCATTGGCTGCGTTCAGAAAACACAACGGTTACACAACGGTTGAGTAATTCGTCAATGTTATTGGTCTGAATATAAGGATCTAACAGTAAGGACCAATAGTTACTAAGCGCTCAGTGAGCGCTTTGTTTTCTGAACGTAACCAATGGGTGCATTCAGTACTACAACCGCTCACTGAGCGCTAAATGAGCTCTTGCATCTGATTGGTGTATATTTTTAAATCTAAAGGTATATACCAATCAGATGTAAGAGCTCACTTAGCGCTCAGTGAGCAGTTGTAGTATTGAATGCACCCATTGATTGGCGTACGCGGAGCAATCCTAGAAATATTCTGTTTGTTAACCAATCAACGTATTCGAAAAGATTGTCGTACGACAAATGTAATATTTTGGTTAATGTATAATCAATAAAATGCTTTCGTGTAACAAAGTGTTCCTTGCTGAAAGACGGTCAGAGTCATTCAAAATCATAAAAAAGATGAATCTCCTAATATGGATTTATCTTTGAAGGTTATGTTTTAATTAAAAATTGTGAATATCCCTCCATAAAATGTCGTATTTAAAAGTATTGTTCGGATATTTTATAAATGTGGATCAATAGTATCGGGAGAAATTTCAACCCAACAAAAACCATTTAATCCATCATAAACATGCGCACTAATATACTGCGTTCACATAAACATCACCGCCACTTTATTGTAAAGCGTCATGACTAACGGGACATTCGGTCGGCCGAAACTTTTTAATAAAGTTAGTAATCTAAGAATAGTAATATAGACATCTGTGAATCTTATAATCACAATTTTTTAAACAATCCTTTGCAAGCAAGATACAGGCGATTATATAATGTAATGTAATGATTATGTAATGTCTTAAAAATTAATAATTTGCCCCCTATCTTTTCACGAGTTACTATTTACAGGAGTAATAATACGATGTATTATACAGAGACATTAAATAATTGTCTCTATACAATGATTATAATAATATAACATAATTTACATTAATTCCAAATATTGATAAACAGCTATAAATAATGAATATTACGCAAGACGAATTGTAGACTGTTCTGTGAAGTTTGTTACGAAGAATAATTGCCTTTTACACCTTCGACACCGAAAGGAGAATATCGTACATAATTTATTGTCCAGAATGTCAAAAGGAAATTTTGTTTCATTACAACAAAAAATTGTATTTTAGATATTATTAGATATCTTTAGCAATTTGCGTGATTAGTATTATATAATCTCCAATCATAAATCAATGACTTGTAATTAGTTAGTTCTCTGAGTCTGGCGTATCGATATTTCGAGAATCGCAAACATTGCAACATGTACCTACAATCTCTTATTTAAAAAACGATTCGCAACGCGATAAATTTACTTCGAAATATTGTTGTGTATTTCTTGCGATTTTTCTTTGTTGAGAGTACCGCACATAAATTTCGGAACGTTCGAAAACACTATGAATTTCGTATGTTATGTGAATAGTGAAATATCGTTAAATAATTGTAAAAAATGTCAGCATGAATATCAAACGGATTCGAGGTATTTTGGAAATGTGGAGTCCGAATGAGTGCATTGCAATGTTTAACACTTTCGATTTACCAAAGGTAATTCATCATATTGACATTTATTAGGTATCTATTATATCGATATTTAATATCATGTCAAGAAATGTTTAAAAATTATAATAAATGAAAACAATTGCAAAGTATAAAAAACAAGGAACAGTATAAAATATGCAAAGAACAGTATAAAATGTTTCTATTAAAAACCTAAATATACATTATTCTCTCTAAGATATCCCTTAAGTAAGAGAAACCATAAAATTTCAAATAGCACAATGTATTTTGGGATTATTCTGATTATATACAGAATATCTTGAAACACTTCCCAAGACATTCTAGATATATTTAGGATGAATCTGAGATTTGTTATTTAACTATGAAATAATCTTTAATCAATGACACAACCAAGAGATAATTTAAACAATGTCAATAAAATGTCAATAAAAAAACATTTTTATATATTCAAATAAATATATTAAAACATATTTATCAGAGAATAGAGACTTATCAAAATTTTTTAAAATTTATTTAAAATTTTCTGTAAAGTTAACCCAAACAACTTTTTTGTGTTGTTCATACACATAATATATATTACTTGTATTTTATTAAATAAAATGTCTATTTTCTGACAATCAATTTTCTAGCAGAATTAATTAATATATTCCAGAGATTGTCCTGTCCCATAAAAAAGTAAATAACTAATTATATATAAAAAGTAAATTACTCTTTTAGCTTTCAATCTTGATAAAACTGATATATGTTTAATTCTGGGAATTACATTCCCAGCAAACACAGTATTACATGTAACGTGCATGTAATTTCCTACTCAACAATATAACTGTTATTTATTATTGTTATTAACTGTTATTAATTATGAATGTGCAAGATGTGTTATATAACACATCTTGCACATTCATAATTCAATTTATAAAACTTCATTAGACTATGTATATCTTGAAAAAATAGCACTTGAAATATACATTCAATATTAATTAAAATATACTAATTTATGACTGATAGGAATATTTTATACATAGTGAAATTAGATAAATAGTATATATCAGAGAGAATATAGTATTTTTAGGTAAGAGTGATATAAAACATTCTGATGATATAAAATATGCTGATAGTATAAAATATGCTGATGATACAAAATATTCTGTATGTATAAATACTACAAATATAAATATAGATGTTTTTTTTTGTTTGTCGCATTTAGAGATTAATGGCATTTAGAGACTAATTAATACGATATTGTAATGTCGATGAATCGTCGATAATATCGATCACAACCATAAACTATTGACTGTCATAATTCATTATTAATCATTTGTCATATTCAAATTCATCGTAATATTCTGTTTAATCAGCACAGTTTTATTAATTATCCTGTTCGTGTCTTCGTTTTGGTTCTCATTTCGGTCGTCATTAAACGTAGTAAAATTGGTATTATCAGCGTTATCGTTAGATGATGAAGGGCTGTTGATTTGCATCAATGCAATGTTTCTGGCGTTATCTTCGTGTTCTACAGTTTCTTCTGGTATTAGGGCCACCCGTTGTCTGTAACATGTCGTGATTCATCAACAAGTGTGTCCACATAAGAATCTGAATATATATAAAACATTAATTTCGAGTTTATAAAATCTTCCAAATAATTATCAAGCATTAAATAGTCAAAATACATAAAATATGTAATTTAAATCGATTGCTGCTCAGTCATGGAATAGAAGAAAATTTATAACGATTCTACTTATGGAAATTCATTACATAATATAAAGATTGTAGCATTTCCTTAGGCCAAATTTTAATAGTCGTAAATATTTAATTTCATTATTAATGAATACTTTAATTAACAACGCATAAATGACTTCATAAATAAATACAGAACGTTTCAATTTCGGAACATTTTTTCATTATTTCTAATCACTAATTAAGATAATGATTATCCAGAAAAATGTGTTAATATTTATCCAATATAAAAACGAGATTCGATATAAACATTACAAATTTAACTCTAAGATACATGATTTATTGAATGACATTACTCTATCATCTATCAGATGTTAAGAAATTATTAAGGTATTTCAGGTAAATGTTTCTATTCCTAAAAATCCTATAGTCCTTGTTGAAAGTTCCAAATTATCATAAAATTTTTTTTTCATAGTAATTATTAAGCGATTGTTAGGATCCAAAATAACCATGTACAGATTTAAACACATAAAGTAACATTTGACACTTAGGGATTAAAAATACCTTGAAAACGATGGAAACATTTCGTATTCATTTATAAAGATCATCTATGTATTATATTATTAGTAAAATATTTATTATCAATAAAATTATTTTGTATATCAGTAACTGCGCGCGCAAATTGGCTCTAATAATTTATTATTTAACTGAGTAAGTGAGAAGTATATGCATTACTCGTTACTATCAGGATTTTCTGCTGGTAAACGACATGCTCGAGACGCTCTGTTCCGTCGAGCGGAGGATTCGTCATTATTGTTATTTGTTTCATCTAATGATGAAAAGCTTGCATTTCCGACCCAGCTTGGTTCATGCCAAGGAACAGCATTTTGCGATTTATCATCAACTATCGCATTTCCTTTATGATAAAATGGTGAGCAGTATTTTTTCTTCTCTGCAACGGATTGGTCTGAAAATAAATATTTACAAGTTACAAATATATGCTGAAAGATCATACACGCTTATCGTCAAAGATTTATAAAGTATAATGTCCTTTACGAAGTGGTTAATATATCTCCAATTTTTCATAATTTTTAACTATTATCAAAATTATCGAAGATGTTTAAGGAAATACCATATTTGAAACTTTACCGACAAAGTACTGACGTTTTTCTGTAAAGTTTATGTTGTATAGGTTGTATAAAATTACAAATGCTTTTGTATAATAAAAATACATGCAAAAATGAATTGGAACATTGCTCAATATATCAGGAGAATTCATTTTTTATGACAATCTTTTTGTTTAATTTTTTTATAACAAAACTGATCATAACGAAACATTTTCTGCTAAAACGTAACACAAAACTTTTGTACCAATTGTCAATTTACTAATTAAATACATACATACATTACACAGACACCCTTAAAATTAAATATACTTACCAAGTCTTTCTGGTGGTGCAGTAGGTTTAAATGTGTTTTCCGGATGAAACATTATTTTTTGCTCACCTATTTCACAATCTCTTTCGTTTAGTGAGTTAATAGAACATATACGTCCTGTGAAAATGTGATTTTCGATATTTTAACTCGTACAATTAATTTGATGAATATTACAAATTTTATTATATTAACGTTGACAAACTGAGTTGATTATTGTTTTATTACGTACTTTTTAATATAATGTAAAAACGGAATTGTAATATTAGATATATTTATTCTCATTAACATGTTAGCTGCCGAAATAAAGATTCCTGAAAAGTTTAAAAACGTTTATCGATAGACCGTGTACATATTCTTCTGAATAACGATATACAGATTTTGAATTCATACTAAAAAAATGATAAAATTTAACGGGAAATATTATTATTTTCAATAATACGTTTCATTTCAAATACTTTATAATCTAAATACATATATTTACAAAATAATCTATAACTAACACAAAAACAATATAGAAAGTTTATATAAAAGTCCCATCTACCCAGGTGACAAACATTTCTAATAGACGTTTTAAAGACACATATAAGAGATGATTTATAGCTTTATCATTTTAAAAAAGTTTTGTTATCTGAGTAGTACGATTATATGATTTCATAGTAAAGTATTTTGGGTAAGTATAAAAGTTTTGAGGAATTTCGTGATAGAAAAATTAACTAGTAACACTGTTTTTTTGTTATACAATGGTATGTTATACATCTACATATTTGCAAATACTGCCATAAAAGTGGATCAGTCATATCTTTGATAAACCCACCAAAACTTCTGCACTCACTTAATATAATCAGAATTTGAGAAGTTGTTCTTTAAATATAAAAATCGTTATTTATTACCGTAAAAAAGAATAAGTTTTAGTGGTAATGGTGTTATAACGTGTTACTTCTTGAATTTTACATTATATACATTGAGATAATTTATATATAAGATGTAAGACAGTTGTAAAATTTCACAAACAAAAAGACAATTATCTCATGGAGCTTTATGAATGATGCCTACATTTATATGCAAACATCTATAATAAACATGCTCTATGTTGGAATTAAAATGATTGGAATAACAAACCCAGTCTTTGCCTATCAATAGACGTAGCAGCAAACGTGTTAACAAGAACATATTACATTAAGCATTCGTATGTAAAAACATATAATACAAAATATTTGTGTTATTCACTTTTTAAGTACAATATTTTAATACTTTTATACGTAAAAAAATTATCTTCATAGTTTCAACTTTATATATTTAAACAAAAACATTAATCACAATATATTCTTTCATATTGTGCAATTTGTTAAATCAATTCATTTTTTATATAAGTTTTAAGATTATTTAAAATACTAATTCACTCGCGTGTATGTGTGTGTAATATTCAGTCTAGATGAAAACAACGTAATTATTGATTATATAAAAAAATAAATGTTCAAAATTCATGAAAGAAGAATATGTAAAATAAAATATATATAAAATAACTTACGCTTTTTAAAATATATGTAGGCAAATATGGTTATAATTAGTAGTAAGATCGTAATGAAAATCGGTATAACAATATACCATATTGTAAGATCCAAATTAGGTTCTGCAAATTATAAACATATAATAAATAATATAATAAATATAAAAAAATAACAATTATTGATAGCGTATGCTTAAAAAAAGTTAAAGTAAGTTAAAGTTGTTAATTAAATATAGTTTCGAATATTTAAATATGCGTTTTGAAGAATGTATTAATAAATAAAGAATATTTGATAATTTGAACACATTTAATGTTAGCTCAACAATTAGACATTGTTACTTCGGCTTCTATGCTTCATAACAGGTTACCGTAAAAGAATAGTTCGCAAATGTAATCACTCTCTTTTGATGCACTTCTAACTTATAATAATAATAATAATAATAATAATAATAATAATAATAATAACAATATTAATAATAAGAAAAAGATATTCAAACCGTTTTGTGAGCGAATATGCACACACACACACACACACATACAAAATTATTCACCTGGATCTATTGTCGGATTCGGGATGGTCTTACAATATACTTCTTGTTGACCATCTCTATGAATGTCAGCCTGAAATCTATAAAACAAGAAACAAATACTATGTAAGGTGAAACTTGTTAAACCATTGTTCTGCAATACATATACGGTATGTTGGACTTAGGTTCTACTCGTCATACACGAACATCCCAACACCTATATCCAAATATCCTATAAATGTCTCTAATATATCAAATAAGAGCTCTATTACATTATTGAAATTGATTATGTTATCGAACGATCATGAAAATATCTTATACTAACAACGTACAATGTTAATAATGAAATATAATTTTTCTTCGTGGATGGAGATCTTATATAATATACAATGTAAAAGAGATAGAAAATAAGAAATATTGCGATTGTTTATTAATTTTAAAAGAAAACAAACTGTTATTAACCCTTTATATATTGATATCCTTTATATATTGATAACACAGCAAATCCAAGTTTTTCTATGCTTTCATGTCCAATAAAACACGATGGATATTTTTATTGACTCGAGCCTTTACAACAGAATTTCCTGCTTTCATGACAGTCATTTCGACAGAATAGTTCATCAACTAAAACGATACTTCGAGAGTTACATGAAATCATATTCTTAAAGTATTTTGAAGGCTGCATACATCGACAAATTGTTATTTTCTCTAACATATCGCATATAAAAGGCGACAAAATATTACATTATTTTCAAGACTTTAAATCATTTGCAAGGGGAAACAATAGAACTCGGTGTTACATACAGCACGTGTAACGTGTGGTTAAACACACTTCGAGAAGGTCACCGATAAGCAAATTCCGCAATGAGTTGGCGATCAATGTCGTTCGTATAAATACAACGATCGACATAATGTAACAAAGAATACACGATTTATTACAGAATAAATGCAAGACGTAAAGGAAACATGTAAATAGTGCAGTAAGAATTCAGAATACTCTTACATGCAGCGATTTTCTTACCCATTTAAACATGGCCCACATTGAGAAGAGGAACGCACAGGATTTGCACCTTCCTCACGGTTATATGCTGCGCACTTGGTAAAATTAACGCAAAGATTAGAAAAAATGTAGCAGTATTGCCAGCTGGGACAGTTATCGTCCGTTTCACATGTGACCTGCAACATATGCGGACGCAATCATTTTAGTTGTCAGTGTGAATCAAAGATAACGGAAACAATTCTTTGGTAAATATTTATACGAGCTTAGAGTATAAAGTAATTTTTATATAAATCGTGTCTCTCATAGAAAATAAGACTTCTTTTTACCACATTATTTAATGGAAAAAAAAACATCATTTCATATGTTGATTTTCAAACTAATGTAGTAATATTCGGTTAAAAAATACAAAAGCAATATAAGTAGGTTTGCTATTTTGCATTAATTGTTAATATTCATTGTTAATGATTGTGCCTTGCCTCATCCTCGGTTTGCCAATACAGTAAAATTATTTGTTCGAAATGTGCTAATAGTCTATATATAAGCATGGTTTAGAGGAGTATCTCGTAGTTAAGTTCTGGTGCTACGTTTACTGTACGACAGTCGCAGTTAAGCATTATATACCGTGGATGCTACTCCGAAGGGTGACCCAGTAGAGTTTTTATAACCCGAGTATGAACGATGTAGAAGAGACTTTTTTTATAAATTCATATTAACGTTAATAAAATATAATCTTAATAAAAAGTTAATAATGTAATCTTAATAAAAAAAATATTACGTTTAAAAACGTAACATTGTTAGTTCAAAATATGAATAAATATGGAACCAAATAGTGGAATTTAACATGAATATGTTTATAATATTGAACCAAATTAATTTGTTATGATTAATGAACGACATTGGTGATTGCCGCAAGAAAAAAAAAGTAACAATTGGTTGTAAATTTTGGCAAATTGTAAGGTTCGCTTTCGTTAGAAACATAAGCCTCACATGGATTTCAACCTACGTCATTAATACCTTTCGGTCCCGGATTAAGCTTTTCTTTCTTCCCGCCCGCATTGATGTCAGAAAAAAATTTTCCTTTGTCGCAGTCAGATTTCGAGAGCGGACTCGTTCAGACGGTCTTTAACGAGGCAAACATCTTCCTGGCACATGAATCTATACATCTAGTTTTGTATACAGCCTCTATATTACAATTCGTGCCATATAATAGGAGCACAAGTCATTTATATGTCATTTATATGTGAAAATAGTTATCAAAGTGCCATAAGCTATATTTGACAATTGAATAAATGAATAGTGACAGCTGAACAAGTCTTAAAAAATGTGAAATATTGAAAGACAATTAGTTCGACATCCAATTGTCCGACGGAAAAGTAGCTTGCGTATTCAACAATTACGACGCACAATTATTTTCACGCGATGCATCCGATAAAACTGCATAAATAGAAAATAAAAAATATCGTAGAAGCTTCTATTACGCTGATGTGCGATAACAAAAACGTTATCGATATGAAATGCCAATAAGAGAAAAAAAATCTATTATCTCTAAACCTGATATCATCGTGCATAACGGAATAAAAAGCAGCATCTCAAGATAATATCAAATTTAACTGACTTTACATCAATGATTGCGCGATATCGTAAGATATATATACACGTATGTCGACGAAACACGTGTAATTTTATTATGTTTTAAGTAGAATATAAAATTATAACGAAAAAATGACCGAATCGTCAGGAAAAATGAGTTTTCCTCATCATTTTGACATAATTTTCTGTTTTGCCTGGGTATCTCGACGCGATTTTCCTACTATGCGTGCCGCTATTCTCCCCCTCGGTCGGTGAAAAAAGCAAGACAACAGGTGGATGACTCATGACGGATCGCGCAGGCCTCCATCTTGTCTTGACCGCTGTCCAATGAGATGAGGATTATCGTTGCTATTTCACGCGTTTCCAACAATACGAAAACGTCCAAAATTTCGGTTTCCTGACGTTTGTGAAAACGTCATAAGATTATGATGGACGCGCGCGATGTCAATTATCTATAAAGTTATAATATTACGTTCTCCATATACCCGACGATGATAAAAACGAGAATCTCGCTGCATGTAATCGCACGTATTATATGACGCATTGTCTGTTTTGAGGTCAAGATCGGATATTCTTTCTGGTTTCCTTCGCGTTTTTCTTACTCTGAAAATTCCTTTGTCGCACGTCCCTTTGCGCAGGCTCAGGGAGGCTGATGAAATAATTCGCGAGGGTTACAAGATGGCACACTCGCACACCGATCGCTCACTTTATCTTGAGCAAGTTGGTCTACGGAAAACGCCCGCTTACTTGTCATTTTCCGTAGCACGAGCATAGTAAAAGAACCAAAGTACTTTCACGCACGAAGATCTTTGTATTATTTGCAGATATTATTATGAACTCGTTGACTACCTTCATTCGTATCGAAGTAAAATCACTTTACACAATTTTCAATATTCGTAAAACACGATTGCTGGACCAAACTTGCAAATTGATCGATTTCCTCTTCCTCTACTCCCTGTAGTCTATTAGTGGCTTAATTAGGCAGAATATCAATGACCAGAGTCGCATCAAACGAGTTTCAGTAATGTGAACCAGGCATAAGGATGACTCATCTTTCTACATTCTAGCAGAGAGCGAAAGCAATATAATTTCGATGAGTTTAGTGCACAGGTAGTGAGCAATTTTTTGAAAAATTACACCGAATGCGTAGCGATGTGAATGAATTGTTACGTTATCGACATTGGCTTGAGAATCTCGGACATTATTTTACTATAACAAAAAAATGAAAATTCTAATTTCAAGCCAAGTAAATGTTGGACCAGGTTTATGCAATCGATTTTAAGAATTGTTTTGGAAAAATAGCATCAATATTATTCGCTTACGCGGCAAGTAGAATTATAATTAAAAAATAAAAAAATCAATCCAGGGTGAATCAATGTTTATTATTGGTACAGGATTTAATCTCGAAGAACATAATTTGGCTAAATAACATCGAGTAACAAGTGACTTTGCGCGGGACACGAGCCATCGACGACAGTTGGATGACTCATCGATGTTAAAGTAAAATATTTGTCGTTAATATTATAACTAAGCACCGCAAATTTTCGATTTTTCGCCTATGAGAAGATCTCATACAGGCATTTGTTATCAATCAGTGATCGTGAAATTACCACATATAACGCTATTATTCGCAATAGGTGCCTATATAACATACTTCAAACTTCGATTACATAATGCGATTAGTTAAAGCGGTCGTTGATCGAGCTTGATGTAAAAGCATCCTATTCTTTGTTGATTTATCATACCGTTGGTTCAACATATTATCAAATGCAATGCAAATCGTTTTATGATTCAAGGAAAAATATTTGCGTTTCTTCATGTTTGATGAGATTTAAAAATTAGATGGAAGGATATCCAAAGATAAAACGTTCAAATATCAGAGTTTATTTAGATTGACAAATTTGATTATTTAAATAACGACATTAAATCATACGTTCTTTGGCCCTAATTTCTCTTTATTTAAAAATCAAATGTTTTTTAAAGGCTTTCAGTTTAAAGGAAAACGAAATATTTCCGATTATTTTTGGTTGTAAAAGATTCAAAAATGAGATGAAAAATAAAAATAAAAAAAAATAAAATGAAAAATAAAAATAAAGAAATAACAGACAAATACGTCTATTTCGAGCAATCGCATAGAAAGAAAAAAATCCGTTCAAATAACAGGTCAATCGTCATCAGCGTTTGAGACGGTTACATGTGTTCGTCGAGCTCATGGAAAGATCTAGAAAGCTCGGAGGAAAGCTTATCTCTCACATATCTCACTAACTCTAACGTACCGCGTGACTAACTCCTCATTTTATTTTATACAGCATAGAAATCGATATAACCTGACACCTGACACCTGACACGAGATATTCATTGTGTGTGTTTTTGGTTTTCTTCTGCCACCACCCGCAGATTATCCCCGCCTTCGATCGACCTACGCGATTTCGTTTCTTCTTTTTCGCGAGAACACACGAAGTCCCAATTGCTGAAAGGAGAACGATGACACTTGACGGAGCACGTGTTTGCACCTGTTCGTATTGCGACTCATGCGACGAGGTCAATTTTGTTTCTAATATCTGAACTTTAATCGAAATTTTACTTTAAATTTTCTTTATTTTAACCGAAATTCAAGTGAAAATTCCGTAAATAAGATCTATCTATCTCCAAGCAAATATTTTTGTGTATGTGCTCCGATCGAGTCGTCCGGTCGTCGAATTCGCGATGCTGCGCGACATGACATAACGTGCACGGTATGCACTGTCCTGTCTTACAGAAATATAACTCTTCCTCCGTTGTCGTAAAGTTGGTCATATACTTACTTTCATCTTAGCCTAAAGAGGGAGATCCTTCAATAAAAAACGAACCACGTCCTGCGTTATTTATTGAATCCAAGTGAAGATCAAGTGATTTCTGTCAGAACACTGTGTTGGTATCGGGTCGACGAGATTCCAATAACGTCTTCGCTCGTACAAGTCGCACCACTAAATGGCAGCGGATGTGAAGCTGGTCGCGCCGAAGGCCACAATGAAGCTGAACGCGTTCGAACGCGTTTCGTTCGGCGTCGCCTGATTGGCTGAACGTATGAACGCTCATATCAATGGGTAAATGGAGGGGAGTCGCAGGTATCTACCGTTTAGGGGATCTATTGTTCAGATCTCTCCAATTCTCGAAAGCTTTGGGTCATTTCGCACAAAGATTGGAATCGTCTCTCGATATTATTTAAATTATAGTATAAATTGTTTTTGTGAGTTTTGAGAAATTTATTAAGACATGAACGTATGAAAGAAACTATTGAATAGAGATATTCTGACAGCGTGAATGAGAAAGCGTGATGGAAATTAAAAAGGGAAGACCAAAACACTGTGTATTCAATTAATTATAATATAGACTATTTAACGGGAGGGGTCAAAATGACGAATTATAATTCTTTCTCGTTAATGCTTTGCAAGGATTATTTTAGTTTCTATTTAGCCGATGCAATAATTTCTATGGAATGATCAAGGATATAGATAAAGTGCGTCAATCATCGATATTCGATACATTATGAAAATTCAGAGTTTAAATAATTGTATTCTGTATTGTGAATTCATCAAAGATAATTTGTAATTTTGATTACATTCTTTTATTCATACAATGTTTTATATAACATTCTATAAATCTCAAACGTGTAAAAATATTTAAAAGTATATTGTAACAATAGATGTAGTTTTTATTAGCAATTTAAACATTCTTACTGTTGTATAGTACTTTTCATTAGTAAAACAATCGAAAAGGAGATTATTCATAATATCAATGAAGAAATATATCTAATTTAAGAAAAATTATAAAAATTGATTGTTTAATTTTTCACATTCAGTTTACATTCAGTTTACATTGTTTCTAAATTTTCACTAATAGAATGTTTCGTTATATTATCTGATAATTACCGATTATTAAAATTAATATACAACTAATCACAACAATCGTTAAATATCATTTAAGCTCTATAAAAACACATAATTAATGTTTAGTCTTTAATTTCTATAGGAACAATATTTCGTATGAAAATATTTAATATTTTCATGAAGAATCGTCTTGTCGATTGTAGTTACGTAACATTACAATTAAATAAACAGGGTGAAAAAAAATACCGGGACCCCGAAATGTATCGAAAAATATAATTTTTATGAAAAAATGTTTCAGACGAAAGTTGTAGGATTTCAAGTAACGCATTACATAGTAATATTATTAAATAGTAATATCATTACATAGTAATATCAGTCACATACATATGCGCATATACGCGCACACACACACACACACACACACACACACACACACACACACACACACATACACATCACACGCACAAAAGAGGTGTAAATCCGACTATGCAACCTCCACGCGGTACACCTTGAGTAATGCTAATGCCGGCGGTACTGCAACTTTTAAATCTTGTAACTTAAAAAATACTTAACGAACAAACATTTAGTTACAGTGTTTTAGAAAGCCCTCGAAATAAGCTACAAAAATATGTAATGAAAAGTATGGGATTCTATTTAAGAAATTTAAGATGACCTTCACGTGACCTTGACAACGCTATTCAAGGTCATACTGACATTGTTATATAATGCGTTATTTGAAACCGTATAACTTTTGTTTGAAATACTTCTTTATAAAAACTATATTTTTCTATGTATTTCGGAGTCCCGATATTTTTTCCTCACCTGGTATATATATTACACAATTTTTATTAAAATTCTGTAATAAATATTTAATTAAATAGCAATTTAAAATCTTATGTCGCATAAGTAAAAAATTGCATATACATAGCTTGAACTTAAATGTCCAACCATTCATATATAAATAGAACTCATTAAACTGAATAGCAAAATCTGTATTAGAACTTCTTCCACCGCATCGCTCACATCGATTGGCCAGTTCCATTTCATTAATTTCTCGATTAATTTCGCTTCAAGTTGTATCTTACAAAACGATGAGGATTTCTTTATTCAATTTAATGAGTTCTATCTGCGTATATGAACGATCGGATATTTAAATTCACACACCATATATAATATGGTCGATATATTATGATTTTCAGATCAATAGATAAGTTAATTAATTTTTTAAAATTAAGTTAATGCTTTTTCTCGGAGGAACATGTAAATCACATTGGTGCAAACACTAATTTACTACATACATACGTAATATACAGGTACATTGTACTTTGGTGTACTGTATACCGTTTTTTTCAGGTTACACAGTGAGGGATATCCTCTATACTACGTATGCATGTATTTACATGTCATATGTATGTTCATGGACAAAAGAGTTATCCCTAATTTTTTGTGTGAATTTGAAAATATATCTATCTGGTCCAATGGAATAATTTCTTTCCTAACGGGAAAATTCTCCTATTGGGCAATACGGGTGTGTTACATCAAAGCCTTTGATCGTTTTAAAGCTACTAGCGAATATTTTTTCACTATTTCTTCCTTCGGTTTGATTAATTGTTAGTTGTAACGTTCGCCTGTTACCGTTTGGCTAAATTTTGGCAACTCATGATACGTGGCCACAAAATATTCTCTCATTAAACATTAACACCATCTCAATGTGATCCGCAGAACTTGGCTAAAAACCTAGTAATACTCACACAAAAAATTACGGACAACCTTTCTGTCCACGGCCATACAAGTACTGTGCTTATTTCACTTCAACAAATACAGAATATAGCTGCTTATACACAGCGAAGTTTACTCTTATAATGAAGTAACAAATCCTTGTGGTAATACTGTCACAAGCGACAACATATTTTTGCAACAACTCCCACTGAAATATTGTTTGTAATGATGGCAACGAAGATTGTAATTCAGGAAGATAATTATTGATAATAATATACTCATATATTATTAAACTTGTAAATATTTTTGCTATGAAATATTTATTGAATGTATCAAAATATATTTTTGCAAATTATTCGATATTTGATTGATAACTTGTCACTGTCGCAACTAAATAAAAAAATTTGTTTAATAAAATAAAATAATTTGTTTTTTCTCACTGCGCACAATAATTGATTGAGTTGTGCAATTTGCATGTTGTACTATATGTTACATTTCATTATAACATTGTAATAATCATACTGTGTTTGTGTCGAAAGTCTTAATAACACTTGAATAAATGCAGCGTAGTAATGCTGAACATTAATACTTATTTTTTTACGGTCACATCGATTGCAATATATTAATTAATTAATTAACTTACTCAAAAATCTTATATAATAGCGATACTTTTTTTCTTATCATTCCTATTATCGGACCTAGCAAGAATTGGCAACTGTAGGTTACTTAATGATTTGTAAAACCTTTGAGGTCAAGGATTAGTGAAATTTTCATTTCCCGTAGTGAATTCCGGGATTCGAATGATTATTTCTCTGTAATACATTTCGAGATTCATTAAACAATATGTTTTTGGACAGGAATTTACGTCATGTAAAATTTATGAAATTGTTGGAGAATTAAAGAGTATCATAGAATAGTAGAAGAGTAAAATACATAATTTAATATCGACTAATTAATGATTATGTATGCAGAATATGAACAGAAATTTAAACAGAAATGTATGCACAACTCACCCCGAATTACGATTATTGGTATTAAATTGGTATTCGTTGATAGAAGAACGAAGAAACGGGGATATGTTATTTTGTTGAGCAGAAAGATCGGTGTTATTGTCATCACCCGGTAATAAGTTCTGAATCGAGATTGTATTAATGTCCGACTGCGGGAGCGTACACAGACATTTTCCACTCCTGATTATGTTGGGTGGGACTAAAAACGTGTATTTATAAGTCTTCTTATATAAAGATCATGTGTGTGCATCATCGATGATTTGTCAAGCATAATCTCCTTTGCAAAGTGACTATTGTTTAAAACAATATAAATAAATAAATTTTTTTTAACAGCAGATATTATTTCTAATTATAATAAAATACGTTGTATGCGCGATATTTCTATAGCTCTATATATATATTTTTTGTATCAAACAGTTTTTTAATTTACAGATGGTGTATTAAATATATAACAGCTTTTCTTATTACAAACTATTACAAATGCATTCATACGAATATATAAATGTATATATAAACAAAAGTAAATTTACTTACTGTAACAATTTTCTGCGTTACGACCTCGGAAGAAGAAAAGCACATTTCGTTTAGTCTTTCCAGAATTTTTTAATACGTCATTGACACCTAAACGTCTTGAATTTCCTGCAAATTTGATTTCGTTGATGTCTGATATTTAAAATCACGTATAATTAATTTAATAATTTTTATTCCATGAACGTTAACTATAATGTTCCATTTATTTTTACTACGTACATTATTATGCATGAAGTGTAGCAGTGTCAAACTTATTTTTTCATTAATATTGAGGAGTAATTTATAAAATATCCAACAATTGTAAGCTTCCACAAATATGAAACATTTATCTTATAGGATGAATGAGGCTACGTAGAAGCGTTTATAAGACAAACGTCACGTTATACAATATACAATATATACAATATATACAATATACATTAACTAGTAAATCCGCAAATAGTGTCACACTTTGATTTTGATACGTTTTAGATATCTAATCTATTCTATGATTGTAATTCTAATTTAATTTATAATATTGCAATCTAAGTCGAAACAAGAAACATATTTTTTGTAAATGCTCAATCGCAGATTCAGATTATAAATTGGCTTTTATGTTTCTAATTATCTTTCTTTATTTAAAACATTTTTTCTTATTTCTCCCCATTTTAAAGGTATTTGCTCAGAAACAGCCGATACTTTAAAAAGAATATTTTGTTCCTTAAATGTGCGATATATGCAGAGAAAAATATCATAGAAATTTTAATTTTAGATATATTTAAGACAATAATTTACATATAATTCATAATTCTCGTATACACATAATAATGTAGTTATTGATTAAAACATGTAAAACATATAAAACAGGGAACAAGAATTCAACGTTCGTGAAAAATGTAACATGTCAAACATAACTTGAACACTTACGTCGTTTAATTATGTAGACACACAAGATTACTAAAATTGTTACCAAAGCAATACAAGACATAATAGCGGCCCATATTGTAGATTTATTGAACGTAGCTGTGAATCATAAGTACACTCAATGGATACAAAATAACAAATAAACAATTATACGTGGCGTATATCCAAAGTTGAAGTATGTTTCGTAACATCGAACATTCTATATTTATTTGCACCTTTTGCTATTAAAGCAATAGAGTTTGCGTATGATTACGATTAACTTATTTAGTAGAATTACACATACAAAAACAGCAAGATAGCATTATCAGACGCAACAAATATATAAGCACAACACTCACTTGAATACGTCGTTGGGTCCGAAGCCTTCAACTTGCAATAAAGTGCTGGGTCACCAGTACTAAGAATTTCATCCATAAATCTATAAAATAAGAAAATGGACTCGATACAAAGCGCAGAAGAAATAGTTTGTCAAAGTATTTTCTCAAGATAATACTCCATGTCAAATAGAACTTTCGTTGACAAATCGCGATTGCGACATGTTTCTGGCATGCGTAACCATTGCTGATAATTATTACACGATATCATTTTAATTCAGTATTGATATTGATTGTTGTTGCAATCAATGAAAGTATAACGTGGTACGATTTGATGGTGATGAGAATTTAGTTTTCTGTATCCTGTAGCATAAAACCAAATCGAGAAATAATTTATACGCGTCTACGTAATACAACAAGCAGATAATAGAAGCTAATAATAGAAATTCCCGATCGACAATCGACAATCTTTATCGTTCGTGTACTACAATGAACATAAAAATCGACACGATACACAATGAAAAAGAAGACGCATTTTATCACGCAAAAAGAAGTAGTGCAGTAACTTTCGTACCCATCTAAGCATTCTCCACATTGAGACGGGTTCCGCGTAAACTCGTCTACTTGTTTACGATTATACTCTTTGCAGACGATATAGTCGATACAAAAACTTTCTGCTCTATCAAAAAAGCAGAATTGCCCGTTGGGACAATGAGAATCCACTTCACACATCATATCCTGTAACGTATAGAAACATGTTACTTCAGCTTCCGGTAGTATCCTGAATAATCGAGATAAATCTTTCAACCTTTCTTTTCTATGAAATTATGCATAAACGTATAATTGGCTTGAAGCTTTCTTCACACGTTTCTTGTTGTGTTGAATCACGTTATTTTTAATTTTAAATTACGTTATTATATCAAATTATGTTAAATGTCAAATGATATTGAATGACCTTATTTGAAGACGACTAGAGAAATGTAAAGAAAGCTTCAGCCAATCATACGCTTATATGTTTAGTCTAAAGGACATTTAATGGATTAAAGCGAAGGTTCTATATTTTTAACTTTCACTTTAAATTATCTTTAGATTACATTTTTTCGTGCAATTTGCAACAGAGATTTGTTTGTAAATAAAAAGATATTAGAATAGTTAGTATTACACACACACACATTTACATATAATATATATATATTTATAAACCTTCGAATATTCTCCATATAATGTAATTAATGGCATGAAATTAATGTTATAAATCATAGACCTGAATTTTCTGAGGGACGCACAAACGAGATTTCGATAAGTGGTTTATCTGACGCCGCGGAAAAAAGACGCACGGTGAGCCGACGTTCTTTCCTAACGAGGAACTGATAACCGTGTCGCGTGGTAGCGTCGGCGGTAAAGTGAATGAATGGACCAACAAGCGAGCCGTACGTATCATTTGTTCAGATACAACTGCTGACCAACGTCATAATATTAAGTAGCATTATCGTATATAGGATATCTATGAAAGTCATACCATGCAACTTTGCCAGAGCCGAGGGCTGCGTATAAAATAATGGAGATGTACTTCAAACGAAACCATCGACGCAAAGACGTGTTCGAAAGACATGGTTGAAGTGGCAGAAATATCGAAAAGAAAACAGGAAATCGAAACAACAATTCGGGGCAGAATAGCTCCTTTCTTCTCGAAAAGAGTTGAAATTGTGATCAATCGAGTCGCGCATAAACATATCGAGTCCACGGCCAACCGTAGACTCGAGAGAGTCCGCCGTATCATTTCCCGTGCGAGATCCTGCCAGGAAATACGGCACCTCCAGGGTAAAGATATATACTTTAAGCGTATGGAAATTTCCATTGATTACGTTTTCAATCATATTACGAGCGCGAAAGAAAAGCATCGTCGTCAGAGCACGGCGAGCTAACATTTTTTTCTTTTTCACAAAAGTCATCGGATATCGTCGGCAATTTAATGATCGTGTATATATATTTGCGCAATCACTGACGCTACAAAAGTACGGGAAGCTCGTGCCGTCTGACACCACTGCGTCGCGTCCTGATAAGCAATTTACGCTACGTGCGCGTGTCTCATAAGCGGACGACTGCTGGCTCGTGCAATTAATTCTACTCACGATTTTTAATGCCCTTTCTCCTTTCGCACTCGAAAAATCACCGTTCCCACAATTTTCCACGAATTTTTCCACCTTGTAGAACGTTCAAACTCGAATTTCACGACACGACACCACACGTACAATGTAGTAACTTCAGAACACTCGAACGCGTCCTGGAGTTCGTCTTCAAAGGAACTGAGCCTAAAGTGAGGAGTTTGTTTTTCAACACTTGCTCTTGCACCATTGATCTTCTAATACGTTCTCACCGGCTGAAACGGCATTAGCTTAATCCACAGTGAGAAATATTGAAACATAAAAGCGCCTCTAACTGATGAACAAAGTCGGATAGAAGAAACGTGTGTGCGTACTTCTTTCATACTTCCGTGCGCAAAATGTACACTTGAAGTTATGTCCGTATGCTTTGAAACGCACTATACCAAGTGGCTCGGAGCGACAGTCGATTTTTATTTTACTGGAAGGAGGGCTATGAAAGCCAAATTTATGCAGACTCCCGTCTACGCGAGAATTCTCGTTTGGGTACATGTTTACTGATGACATCAGGAACACATCAAATGGCACCACTGCGAACCTTACGTGACAATCAGTTGATAGGAATGAAATGATAAGAGTTCTTAGTTATACTCGTAATGTCAGATATTTTATATGTTATCACTCCGGCTCCTAGCATAAAAGATTATCGCACAAAAAGAGAGAGAGAGAGAGAGAGAGAGAGAGAGAGAGAGAGAGAGAGAGAGAAGAAAATTCTAATAGGAGGGAATGAGACGTCAATATTAAGTTAACGTCTTAATTTGCTCGTTGCTGACTTCTTTCTGTTTGTTTTTTTGATTAACATCCGGAATCCTATATTCATTCAACGTCGTAATCAGACGCTATAGTATTTAAAAAAATATTTAAAAAAAAAATAACGTCTGAACTCTCAATAGTTTATGACTGCTCGCGAATTAATTACCAACTTCACACAAAATGGCGAGACTTCAAACCGGACGTCACACGAGAGCGTGTTCAAGCTTATCAGAATCAGCATTTCAGAGCCCGTCCCGACAGAGTATCGTCACGACGCACAGTGGGTCGAAGCCTAAGAAATAACGGACATGGACCCAAAAATGAAAGTGTCGAAATGTTGACTTTTGTTCATAAATATTAATAGTAAATTAATCGCAGATTACTGATATAACGTCATTCACTTTGAATATTCTCGTAATTTTCTTATAAATGTACCGGAATATAGGTCATTCTAACATATGTAATTCCCGCGACTTTTCCGCATCAATGTTTCAAGTTGTTGTATTATCTATACATAGCATGGATTATCCAATGCACGTTTTTCCTACGTTATTACTCATATTTTAAATTAACAAAAATGATATCAAAGTCAGTTTTATCGTATTTCTTGAATATCTTCCGAGACAATATATTATCTGTGAGAAAAAGTACGTGTTATAAAATTTATTTTTAAGTTATAGAAAAATGCTTGCATTCTGCATAATTGTATCATATTCAGTAAACCTTATACTACACGCCTATGAAGATGTTACATGCCGCTAGGTGTCGTTTGAGTATAAACTCGCCACTTGGGCGGATTGAATGGACAGATTTAATTATATTGTTATTACATAACAAATTGCGGAGTAGTACATGCAAATGGAGGGATTTCTCGTTTGCGCGAGTAGATGTCAGGAGTTGTACTAAATGGCTAGAATGCAATTGATTCCGAATAATTAATGCGTAAGATTACTCATTATTAAATGGAAGTGTTTTGCTTCCATGCATTGATGCGATCGACATCCGCCGATGATGCTGCTTGGCTAATAACGCCAAAGCGTGTCGCACAGTAGGCTGATACACAGCAAATCACGGATATAGCAGATTTCACTTTCTATTATGTTTACCTTTCTAAGATTTCACCACTTGGATGATGCAATATTTTATTTATTCCTCTTTACGCGTGTGCGAGTATGTGTAATAAATTTATTTTATTTATTAATAATTTATATATTATATATCATATATTATATAATATTTATTTATATTTCTTTATTTTATATATTAACTTACTTTATATATTTCATTTATTTTTTTTTAATCCTTAAAAACTATCCCTGTGGAACTATAAAATAACTATTGCACAGCCATCATTATATCACGGAAAATTCATCTTTTTATTAGAAAAGCAAATAACTATATATATTTTCATTATATGGAAATGATATCTGCTATTATTTGCAACCTGCAATATTTTTATCCACTATAGTCTTTTTTATTATAATAAGAAAAGTTTTCATATTTTCCCATTGTACATTGTATGTAAATTTTGATGAAGTATGTTTCATATAATTTCCTATTCTATTTCTTAACGAAATAGAATGTACTTTCCCATCCAATTTTTAGTTTTTAATATAAACATATATAGCGATTTTCGCTCAGAGAATTTTACATATTTTGCGAAAGATGCATCCTGATTTCCATTAACGCGTTACATTATCGTCTCGACACATTATTATACACATGCATGAATTTTTTGCACAATTGAAATTTCCGCACATACGTGCATATTGAAGCTTAAGAGATATATAAAATATCCAGATAACGCAAGATGTTTCAGAATCATCTCAAACATGCCTGAGGTATCTTAGGAAGAATATTCCCCCAGAACATCCCGAACAGGACGCCCTGGTGAAAATATTTCTACAAGAAACTACAAGAAACTGCGTGAATTCAGGACGTTTCATATCATCTGGACATATATCACTAATTTGAACTGTGAAATTCCGAGAAAACAATGCAAAAAGAGACGAATGTGCTGATAAGATATAATATACACCATAAACGAAACGTGTTAGTACACATTGCCAACATTGGGTGAAGACATTCGCTTGATGGCGACCAAACGCCCCTGGCTTCTCGATGCTTCTAGAAAGACACGATGGATCCTTCCATGGTATCAACGCCCACAAATCGCACAGTTGCACACAAGATCAAGTTAATGTACGCAGAAACGAATGAACGATGCCCGAGTCAAATTAAATGCAACTTGCACGTGAAGAAACGAATAACATCAGGAAATGTCACTACGATCCTCTGACAAGTAACACTACCCAAGTGCCATCTTGGGATTGACTTGGCAATATGCGCGTTTTGTAGAGAATCGAAAAATATTTGATACGTATTTTTTCTTTTCGGCAGACATGATGTTTTAAGGGATAAAAATTTTGAAAAATTTGAAAAATCAACTCTCCTGCATTGATAATAATCATCTTTTGACCCTCATCACAGAATATTCATTTTCCTAATATATAAAATCAACTGCTCATGAATTTCTCCGGGTAAGGGTTGAAGTAAATGTTTATTAATTTTTTATAACAAATTCAATTTTGACAACAAAATTTAAGACATAGTCTCGACTTAATTTTTCCCTAATTTTCCGTAGAATCGAATGGCGCTGCTAATTTTTCCATACTTTACATTTTGCAACAATTTCTTTAAACAATAATTGTTTAAACAATAAAAACATTGTTCTTTTTTCATTAAAAAAATCACCTTTCAACACCGACCTCATCCACGTATTCACTTTCTTAATATATCTACTGGTCTGCCTATGGGCCTTATTACATTATTCAAAAATCAATATTTCAATACCTCAATTTTTATCCCTTAAAACATCATGTCTGCCGAAAAGAAAAGATACTTATCAAATATTTTTCGATTCTCTACAAAACGCGTATATTGCCAAGTGAATCCCAAGATGGCACTTGGGTAGTGGTACTTGTGAGTCACAAATGTTGCGTTCAGCGGAAAAAACTGCTCCGCTTCCGTAGCAAACGTCTCCGATTGGTACGTCTGTTCGGATCTGCCAAAGATTTAAAAGAATTCTCCAATCATGAACATTTGCTACTGAGCAGTTTTCTCCGCTGAACGTAACCATTATCTCGGCGGCTCACGATGTGAGAACTGCATACACATACACATAATATGAACCACTTGTAATCGCAATCTTGATTCATAATTATCACGTGATTGAGAAATATTCCGCTTTGATCGATGACAGAAATATCTGAACGGCGAATTGAACGCGGGGCACGCGTTAGAATTGCGTCAGAAAAAAGCCTGTTACCAAAGGATTTATCAACATCCTTGGTAATAGCCGGCTGCCGACAGACATTTGACGGTTCCGTGAGATATTGCGAGGACCGAGATCTTCCCAGCGGCCGAAAATAGCCGGAAAAGAACGTTATCTCGAGCCCCCTCGCACTTGGTCTCGAATCGCCTCGTGCCGCATTAAAATTTCCCAACACCGCATTCGCTCGTGCGAATCATTGTTAGCGCATGTATTTATTGACTCCGATTTCCTCTACCTGTCGCCCGTGATTTACCTTATATCAGTGATTATAATTCGAATTTGAGCGCACAACTCGGTCGCTTCTCGACGAGCGATATTTACCCGCCACACGCGCTAAACATTCGCTCGCGTCTTGACTTGCGCTTCGCGACGTACATAATCTCCGTTGCTACTGATGGTCCTGAAGAGAGAAGTAACAAAGTAGACTTGATCAAAATCTGTATCTCGAAACAAGCTTCGACAAGTGTCTTTCATAAGAAACGCGTAAGTGGTGGGTCGTAAATAAATTCGTGACGCGAACGACGGGGTGTCGCGTCCCTTCGGATGCAGTCGTCTTTCATTACCAATCATTGCGTTTCGTTTTATGATGGACTTACTGTCGTTTGCATGTTGCCAGGTAGATACGAGACCGTTTTTAGAAAACGAATAACTTCGCAGAACACTTCAAATGCGTCGCAAAGTGTATTTCTTATATTCCCGATTCTCGATCAGGTGATTAATTTACCCTTTTACTTCGCAACGAACAGATATTCCATCGCGTCGGAAACTGTACTGAACTTGCCTACTATCGTGATCGCTCCTGCCACTCCTTTTTATACCTTATTCCCCCACTTTTGATGGTCATCGTGACTCCATTATGATAATAAGAATAGTGTGCTAATGTGGCCCTCAGTAGTGTGGCTTTCAGTAAAGTGTCTATTTGAATAAAATAGAGTATCTTTAATGAATTCCATTGAATTAGGAAAACATTTTTTTTAACATGAATAAAATGTGAGATGATATATATCTTATAGTAAGAGGCGAGATATATATGTTTACATATGTAGTTTATCACGTTATATAATTTATTATCGCTCAAATTTATTGTTCTTATTTAAACAATGAAAATGCCTCATTGAATGAGAAACCAACTATTTTATAAAAATATTCTTATCTAGCCATAATATTAAAAATTTTTTAATCTTTTGTTTTTCTTAACAGCCTTTAATAGCCCCTCCTTTAGTCTTAATAGCCTTAATATTTCCTTTTCTATTTTGCGATAATCTATGCTTGAAATATTAATTTTATGTATTTATATTCCCTATGTATTTATATTCTAATTCTATCCTGTCTACTCATCGAATCTTCAAAACAATGAAACATCGACGAACAAATATTTTCATTGTTGTGCTAGCTTTTAAGCAGTCAGGCATAAAAACTCAGATTTATATATTTGTGTGCACGTCACTGAATGCTGTCTGGCAACTGCTTCGACGTGATTCGCGCTCTGGCAAAATGGAGTATATATAATTTCGCGCCAATTTCTTGAGAAAGTTCTAGAATTATTCCCTAGTCAATAAATATCTTGTTCATAAAATTATAACTTCCAAAACTATAATTTTATGACAATAGAATGAGATAAAATATTTGTAATATCATCAAATGTAATTGCTTTTCATCTTAAACATTACTAAATGCATAAAAAATGTAACAAAGTGAAAGTTGTAAGACTCTTATTTGACTAGATATTAATAGTACGAAAAAAAAAATGAAATGTATTCGTTGTTGTATTTGATACACGTACTTATTATTGGCTTTAGTTGAATCCATTCATCGTGTCATAACTTCATAATAAAATAAATATACCTTGAAATGCATCTGACGATTGTAGAAAAATAAACATGTCCAATATAGGTAACACATAAATACCAATGCCTGAATCTCACAAAATAATATTACAATATGTAATATTACCCAAATATTATTATATTAATCGGATCATGAGCTGAGATTCTGATGAAAAATTGAAATAATCAGTTGAGACAGAGGTTTAATAAAAAAAGATCAACACTTTTTTGTCAAGTAAAAAACATAATATGTATTTTTCACCTTAATATGTATTATATACACTAATAAAAAATGGAAACTGCTTAGGATCTAATGCAATGTGACATTGTAATAAGCAATATAGTAATATAATACTTAATATATTCAAACATATTTTTAAGTTTGAAGCCTTAAATTAGAAGCTACCAAAACATAATAATTTTCAAACAAGTATATTATGGGACATTATCGAGAATTCGCTGTTGTTTTACACGCTTCGCTTATGATCGATTGTCCGTATTTATCGTAGTCCGTAGTTTAATCGTTTGTGGTTCGTGCTAATTACTGTTCGTTACACGTAATTCTTTTTTCGCATAAACAACACTCTCTTGGAGAGACAATAAGTTTGAAAATCCAGTGCGCCGCTATTTGATTAGGAGAAACATGAGTAACGATTTTGCAAACAATTAACTCACTTTCTATTGTTAGGATTATCACATTAACATTACATGTTTTCTGAAAATGTACAAATTTCATGTCAAAGGAGAACATCAATAAGTATATGGAAGGTCCGTTTTGCGCGATTTTTTGAATTATCTAAATATATACGGAGAGTGTGTGTGTGTGTACTCTCTCTCTCTCTCTCTCTCCCTCTCTCTCTCTCTCTCTCTCTCTCCCCCTCCCTCCCTCTCTCTCTCTCTCTCTCATATTCTTACCCAGGTACTACTTTATCGTTTAAGGATTCTTTTTCTTCACTGCAACCGTACTGCATTATAAGATCGCAGAGAAATGTCAATCGTAATTTCGCTTTTGTGACATATGCTTTGTAGTATATGTTGAAATAAATCGATTATCTTTGCATATGATTACTTATACTCGGCAAAATAAATTTATGTAACATATTTTAACAACTCTTATTATGGTACATAGTTAATAGATTGTTATAAATCTCAATTGATCATTACAAGATTGCCAAAGAGATTTAGCGCAGAAAGGAGAAATAAGGAAATCTTTATTTTACATTCAACGTGAAGCAACAAAATTATATTATCGATACTATTAGTAAGCTACAGCCATAATAAGCTGTACATTAAAATGAATAGTTGTAAAAAATGTAAGATTTCCCATAAATGATAAGAGTGCATGTACTTGAAGCAAAAGAATATCAACTGATGGTTCTGATTGTAAAATATAATCATCTATATACACAAAAATATATGGTCACAATAATATGTATATTTATATTCTCTTGGTTGATACGCAAATCTCATGTTCTGTGTTTCTTGGACATATGTCCTAAAGTGCCCAAGCTAGGATATATGTAAATTAAACATAAATGCTTATAATTTTCTTATTAATAACCAAATTATAGATTTCCTGAATATTGTATTAATTTATGCTACCAAACATACATCTTATGTATGACATGGCAAAACAACAAATTTATTGCAACTCATAGAGAATGCAAGAGAGAAATCTGTATGACATTTCACTTGTGACATCATAATCCAATATGGTTATAGTAAGGAAACAAGAGCCTTAAATTTACTGTATATGTTATTCCACCAAACTTATTAGCAACAAATCGTCTTTCACATCACTTCCATACCATTTTGTGTGTTTTCTGTAAAGCCTAATGTGGATGTCGGTGCATCTTGTGAGGTTTCTTCTAGAGCTTGCGCATCCATGCCCTCAGGAATGGCGCTTGCTGTTGTAGTGGCACAATCGTCCCAATTGATCTTAAATCTAGTGACACGTGGTTTATCACCTAATATATTCCTTTGAACTTTATCAAATTGTGGCTGCGGAGGTGGATTTTCCCTGAGTTCTGCATCCGTGTATTCATTATTTATGAAGTAACCAACACGAACAAATTCATGACCTCTGTAGGAGCAAGTAAGCAATACAACAGTTACACCCAGAGCATCGTTTACTGGAATCCTGCTTACATCCGGAGGATCAGCCTATAAAATTAAATCATAATCAATATTTAAAAATCAAAGAAATAAATAAGACAAATTGCAAACTTATCTTAGATATAGCAAAGCACACTCGTAGCTGATTTGTTGAGATGCATTACCTGAAATACAAACATGTGTCTTCCTTCTGGAATCGGGCCGACATAGATTGTATCCAAGACTTGATCAAACTCCTCTGACTCTGCACTGCCCACATATATCATCTTCCATTCCAAATCTGCAAAAACATAAGCGTTACACATCATGTTTCCACATGAGAATCGACTACGAAGCATCGACCACCGCGTGAAGAAGCTTGACTGGCGGAAATCATCCTGAAACTCGAACATACGTGCACCGATTATACGCCGCACCGATATCGTTATCTCGCGGTTAAAGTGAATCGTCGTAAATACTCATGAACAAATGCATGTCCTTGAAGAAGCTGTGACATCACAGTTGTAAAATTAACCTAGAGACTGAAAACCGCGTGCACCCCGCTCGCATCTAAGTCGAGAGTTTCCCTTCGCGCGAATTATTCGCCTTCGCGGCGATACAGGCGGGACACACCTTCTTTGAGTTCCTCGATGCACTCGAACGTGACCTCGAACTGGAACGGATTCAGGAACGGCGACGGATTATCGAGGACCGCGACGTTCGCGAGCTGAACCTTTGCCATGGTAGAGAGATACGTCCGAGTAAAGTTGAGATTCCAAGCAACGCTCGCTCGCGCGCGTCTGCACTCGACGATTCCGCTCGTGGGTATGCCACCACTGATCCCGACTGTTCGAACGCGATTATTCACTGTGCAATCGTGGGACTGCCTGTTGTGGGATAAACAACTTCATCGCAGCCGCACGGGACAGTTTGGCGGCAAACGAACCGAAGAGCGCTTCCGGTGGTGATGCCGCGCGGCGGCTCACCGCCGGCGACGAAGGCCGTTCGTTCGATCCGTCATCCGGAGTTCTCGACGTGAGACGCGTTACGACGGGCGTTAACGAGCGTGGCGAAAAATTCGCGTTAGGAATTACGGAGCAGCTTACGTCCACGGGACGCTGCATTTTCGCGCTGCGAAGCTCGCTTGTTTACCACTTGAACATCGCTCTCGCCGCGCGCTTCTGCACTTCTCGGAATAACGTCTCGCGTTTCAACGGCGAGCAGAACGGAGTCCGGGAACGGATATCGCGTTCGTGGTCAATTTCGTGGGAGAATAGGCTCGTGCGGAACGGTATGTTTATTTAGAACGCGAGAAAATTTCCTCTCGAAGCTGCGTAAGAAAGTGCACGTTTGAAGCACGCACGCGATGGAATGCGCGCTGCGAACGCGTGGCGGCCAATAAGAAACGCGGAACCATGGAGCGTCTCTGTCGATGTCATGGAGGTGTTGACTTATGCATTTGCGAAATGCATCTTCCTTTCGTTTTCCTTTTACCTGTCAACTCTGAGCCAGAGTACTACACACCTTTGTTTCACGTGGAACAAAAAAATACATTTTTTACGCACACAGGCTGCATTCAGCAGAGGAAGCACAGTTACAAATTCGCCAATCGGATTGGCGTATGCCTCCTGGTTAATCCTGGTTGACTCTAAAATCATACACCAATCAGATCCATGAATTTTACAACGTGCGAAGCATTCCTGTAGACCCTTAAGCGAGAAGCATACACTTTTGCATAAAGGCATGATACACAACACATAAGAAAATGAACCAATCAGAGTCTTTCATTTCCAGAAAATACAGATTCTTCTTAACAGAAATCAAGATCCTAATTCGTTGATTTCTTTGCGCATTGTGTATTATGCATTTATGCAAAAGTGCGTTTTAAGTTTCGAAACTGCACACTGATTCGGCGGCAGAAACGAGTCTCTCGACAAGCTTAATCATTAAGAACGTCTCCATGACCAAGTCATTTTCTCTCACGCGCACGCGCGCGCGCGACTCAGACGACGTGTGAAGCGGCCTTTAGGCCGATCGCAGGGACCACGCTCGGTTGGCTCCATCGGAAAAGGAGGGAGCGAACGTGGCGACAGAGCGAGGAGACGGTTGTCCGCGCAAGGTTCTGGAGTGCAGCAGAAGACAGCGGCGGCCATTTTTCTGCTGACATTGCCGTAGCTGTGGCGGTTCGGCGGTGTTCCTTTTTGCCGTGGGGATCTCTCTCTCTCTCTCTCTCTCTCTCTCCTCTCTCTCTTTCTCACGAGAGCGCACAGACAGCGGCGACGGTGACGACGGTTGCAACAACGACGACGACGACGACGACGACGAGGAGGAGGAGGTGGAGGAGGAGGAAGAGGAGGGAGCGGCGACGAAGTGGCACAGGCGACAGCGGGCGGTCACCGCGGACTTTTTGTGTGTAGTGCGTATTAAAGAGATAAAAGCCCTGCATGAGATAACGCGATAAGAGAGCAGCGAGAGAGAGAGAGAGAAAGAAAGAGTAGCGAGAGAGAGAGAGAGAGAGAGAGCAAACGTCAGTGATAGGTCGTGACTGTTCTTTCGACGACGGCGGTGGCTGCGGCGGCAGTAACGGAGGAGCAGGAGGAGGAGAGGAGGAGGAGGTGTGGTGTGACGGGTGCTCTCGCGCGAACGATCCGAACTGCGATCGCCAGTCGCGCACGGTCGAGTGAAAAGGGAACGGCTCGCGGTTCGCGGACGCGATTGACGGGCTGAGGGTCGACGATAACGGGGTGCCATCGGGAATACAGTCGGAGTGACGTTGCCGATAACGACGGACAAGACGAGGAACACGAGGACGACGACGACGACGACGACGAGGAGGAGAAGAAGAAGATCGAGGACGTGGACGTGGTCGGCGACAGGCAGCGAGAGGAGAACGAGGACGAGGTTGACGACGACGACGGCGACGATCAAGAGAAGCGCGACAGTCGTGATACGACGCTCTCGTATAAGACGGTCGACGATCGCTGCTACCTAGACGACAACATCGGCGCATCACGTCCGTAGGAGGCTCTCTCGCCCCGACGAGGGCATCGTGTTCGTCGTCGTTGGTATCGTAGCGGTGCACACACAGTCACGCGCCACCGCGTACATCAGCGCCGCGGGATGGAGAGGCGAGCCGCTTTTGTGCTGCTGGGGATGCTATATTTAGCGGGCACCCTCGTCACGGTCCAGGCAGGTGAGTCGCGTACTGCTCTCTCGCTCCTTTCGTCCTCTAGCCGACTCGTTTTCTCTCTCTCTCTCTCTCTCTCTCTCTCTCTCGCTCGTTCGCTCGCTCTCTCTCTCTCTCTCTCTCTCTCTCTCTCTCTCTTTCTCTCTCTCTCTCTTTCTCTCTCGCTTGCGTGTTCGCCTGTCCGTTCGTTCGTGGCGATCGTTTATTTGTCTCTCTCGCCATGCCGCGCCGTCGCGTACGCGGAGGTATTCTCTCTCTCTCTCTCTCTCTCTCTCCCCGTCGATTCCCGGTATCGTCGGCTAAGGGACTCGTCGTCGTCGTCCGCCGACGTCGACCGCGACCGTCTTGGCCGTTGGGCGATTTCTCACTTTTTCGTAGCCGAATACTTACGAGGACATCGACGACGATGTCCACGGGACGGACTCGCGTCGGTCGATAATGGCTCACGCGATTCCGTGTCCCGTACACGGTGGATGTTAATTGACGCTTACGATGACTGATAGTGCAAATCGAAAACGGAAATTGCCACGGTGGGAACCGCCACCGCGGCCCCCGTGGGTATCAGGAGGACTCTTTAATTTTCGGCTTGGATTTGTGCTGTTATTGATGAAGAACGTGAGGTGTGTACGTGTGTCTCGACTCGCGCCTGCGACTCGATGGCACAAAAGTCTCGTCCTCTCGAACGCGCGTCCTTTCGAATGTTGCGCGCACGACGATTCGTCATTCGACGACGTCGCGTCGATAACAGACAGACGGCGGTATATCGGAAACGGTATTACCGGTGACAAAATGCGCGTCTCTCTTTCTCTCTTAATCGCGCTCTCCTCATTCCGTCTCTCGGGCCGTATCTCGGGTCTCGCTTTTTCCGGCGGCGCAGCCGACGAGAAAAACGCGCGCTGAAACTTTCCGTCATTCCTGAACTTTGCATTTGAAAGCGAAGGTTCCATCGATTTGTACCACAACGCACACGACTGCTCGCCGAGGTCTCGCCAACCAGAATCGCAGTTGACAGTCGGATTTAATTAAGTCTGGCTTAACGACTTCACCGTGCCGTCGTGTATAAATTACAATCGTTCGTAGTACGAGCGAAGAGATTGCGCGCATAATGAGTTATGATGATGATCGTTAAGAGACGAGCTGCCGCTCCTCGAAACGCCTCGGCTTGGAATTTACAGAAATCATTATCGGACGACGAAGCAACGGGTCGGCTTGACGACTTCCGATAATTTCTCCGGCGTTTCTCTCGCAGGCGAACAGCGTCATCTGTCTGGACCCTAATTCTCAAAAATTTGTGAAAAAAATATCGTATATGATACTTCATCAACGGGGCAATTTTTAATTGGCTGAGAATTGTCGTATCTAGACGTTTAATGACATTCATGAAATATCGCATAGGATATTTCATGAATACGTCATTAAATATCGTGTACGATATTTTTCACGAAATTTTCGGGAATAGGGAGTTTTTGCGATACCGTCTCTCAGATAAACGGTAAACATAAAAGTCGCGAATAACGGTAAACGTTATTCGCTCTCAGAGATAACGTCGCAATGTACGCGACCAATAGCATTCGTGATTTACGTTTACCGTATCCGAGAGACGGTGTTGCAAAAACTCCCCAATAAGATTTCCGGCGCGACGCAAATCGCGCTCGAGCGAGTGCGGATCTGCGCGTGTCGCGTTTGCACTTTTCAATGTTAAGGCTCACTTTCGAGTGAGCGCGGCATAAATACGTGTATGCTCGATATACGCGTGCGTTCTGTGTCGCGCATTCAGATGCTCAGATGTAAAGGTCAAAACAACTTGAACATGGCTGCTCGTCGCGGCATTGACACTTTTGCTTCAAGCAGCAGGTGCACACACGCGATTGTTCCTCGTCTGTTTTACACGAGAAGCCTGCGTAACGCAGGAGACGCATTTAGCGCTAAATGCGCGATGAGAGAGAATACCAAGCTTGCAGTTCTGGCTACGAAAATGGAACGTCTCTCGGAGCACGATTTCTGCCGGGCGTGATTACGGATTCTAATCTCCTGGAGACCACCGGCAGGGACAGAGAGAGAGAGAGAGAGAGAGAGAGAGAGAGAGAGAGAGAGAGAGAGAGAGAGAGAGAGAGAGAGAGAGAGTAGCCAGCGAAAAAAATCAAGTTCTCCAGCGGCGCGTTCGAGCGAATTTATCGCCGAGTATATATATTTTATTACGGCCGGTATCGATCGCGCGAACTTCGCTCGAAGATTAGATTGTCCGTCAGATAATGGCAATCGCGAGATTCGCCCGCACCGACGATCCGAGACACTCGCCTGATACGAGATGAAGTTCGGATTAATTTATCGATTTATCGGGAAAGAGGGAGAGAACTTATGAAAGATCTCGCAGCTGATGCAACTTTTAGCGGCCGCGTAATTTACGGCGGTCCGGCCAATCGGTGGCCGCGGCTCGCGATGAAAGGGCGAACGCGCCCGAAGCGATTGTGGACGAACAGGAAGAGAATCGCGTTTTTCATGTTGCATCCGTGTCGATGGTCTCTCTCGCTAATAGCGTTCCACCTTCGCCGTCTTATTATCTCGAGCGTCGGACGTTTCGCAACTGCGGAGAGGAAAAAACGGAGAGAGACGTCCGCGGAGCTGCCTGCGAGATAATACGTGTGCGATTTGGTGTTTTTTTTCTCTTTTTTTTTTCTTTTTCGAAAAATATCTCAAGCTTCCCTCGTGCGACATTATCGCTCCCGGCCCCCTTTTTAATCTCAGCAGCAAATCTCTTATTTCTCTTTAGGGGAGATAATTTAAATTTTTCTTCCTTCTGACGCGTTCTTATCGCGGCAATTAGGGAAAAACTCGAGCGGCAGACAAAGTACAAAAGCCGACGATTGTCTCGGCGGTACGAGTGTCTTTTGTTGACACGAGGATCGCGCGCTTGCAGTTTTATCGCATAAGGGCGCTGCTTTGTGATACGCGCAGCGCGATTGCACGTGCTGTTTGCTCTTTCTGTGTCTCTGTCCCCCTCTCTCTCTTTCTCTCGACACGGTTTCGCGAGATCCTCCGTCGCCCGCTCGTCGTGTTTACGGATGCGTGGCGTATTTCGTCGCGGTATAACACGCTCGGCTTTTAGACCAGCAATATTTACAGCGCCCGAACACGCGCGTAATGTGTGCGAAACGATACGCACACATACTCGAGAGACGAGGAAACTCGTCCAGACGAGGACCGAGAGTTACAGGCTCATTTAGATTCCCGCAACATGTGTTCAGCGTGCACGAAAGCGCAATAACGCGCAGTAGAAGAAGGAAACTCAAGGATCTGAGCCATCTAGATTGAAACCTGAAAGCCGCGATTGGAACTGAAATCCAAGCCAGTTGTCACATCCAGCCTGTCTGGAGCAAAACTGCCTCCAGCCAGCCGGAGATTTCCGGAGAACGTGGCGCGTCCGCGGCGGCTCTCGCTCGTTTCCCTTCCTCGTCCGCGGCAGGTCGCTCATAAACGCGTCCGTGAGACAAATTTTTCCGCGTCCGCGGAAACGTTTCACCTCCATTACAGAGATTACTTCTCTAATGAGAGCGTACACGAGAATATTACCTTGGACGGACGAGCGGAATTGACAGCTGCGAAAAACCGAGTCGTAGCTGCGCGGACCGAAGAACGTGTCCCTGCAATTATTCTTTCAAAATAAAGGTGGGGGCGGGGGAGGGGGAGGGGAAAAAAGCTGACTCGTCGAGCGCGATGATTAATTACTACGACGAGCCGCGCGCACGGAAACCGCGGCGGGACGTTTATTAGCGGTTCGTCGGTATCTCGCGCGACGCGGGCATTGCTTTCTAGGTCATTTAATGAGACTTATCGACACCGTCTCGGGACGCGTTCTAAAAAAGTTTAGTCGATAATGCTGCAACTGTGCATCCTCGCGAGTCACGGCACGCTGCGCGCCCGCCGGCCAGTTGAGCGCGCGCACGCTTTTTCCTCTTCGCGTTAGCCGTTAATCTCCGATTAAAAATAATCGGAGACACCACGGTTGATGATGTGTCGCTCGGGGGGAGGATTCTCGCGTTCCTGCTCGTTATCCACTCGTTATCGCGCCATTATTGACCCTTTCGCCCCCGAGTAATAGTACACTGGGGCGTAACTGAAATATTTTCAACTACCGCAGATTTATGCGTCAGCCGGATTTTCTGCATAAAATGTGTAAGATGAAGGGAAGAATTTTCAGCCAGAAGGAGCTTGCTGCAGCAGCGCGTTGTTGTCGAACACATGTCTGATTTTTCTTCTAGATCCTTTGACGATTATGAACCCAGTGATGATGAGAGACAGTGCTAAATTAACATTCTATTGGTACACATGTATCTATCATCCTCCCCTGCGCACCCTCAACAGATAATTCAATTTCTCCCATTAAAAATCCTTCATTTCACCTCGGAGCAGCTGATCCTTATCCTACCTTCGATTTGGGAAAAAAAAATTATATTCTGCGATGAAAAGGTTAAGTCCCATGAGCAAGCGACGGATACCGACGGCTACCGAAGCGCACACACGAGCGCGTCGATATTTTGAGAGCACCGACACTAAACAGCGAAAACAAAAAGGCACCATCCGCTCGTTGAGGCTTTTTTGATCCTGCTGCTAATGGAACTATCCATCCCTTTGATCCGCTGCGCAGGCGTGCCTGGCGCGAGGCATGTTTATCTTTTTTTTTTTTTTCTTTATCTATAATAATCGATGCGTGACGGCGCGCGAGCGAGCGAGCGCTTTCGGCGAGTCGCGAGATAAATCGCGACGTTTTTTCACCGATGAGCACCTCTTCTCCCGCATAAGGTGTCGAATTTCCCGCGCGCGCACGTAGAGAGAATGGCTGCGTTCACAAGAACAAAATGATCAGTGAACGCTTAATGATCCTCGCTCCTGATTGGTAAATATTTCTGGGTCTGTGAAGAATCTAAAAGAATGCTCCAATTACAGATAATAATCACTAAGCGCTCACTGATCACTTTGTTCTGCTGAACACAACCAATGTCGCGCGT